AAATCGCGTTTAAGGGCCGGGGGTCTTCCAAACGTGAGTTTGTAATGTGGGTAGCCCAAAAGGCCCCGCCCACAGAGTGACATCAAAACACGGCTGCTGGCAGAGACTGCGAGCAGAGAAACGTGCGGACGACGAGCCCTTCAACCAGAAGCCTCCGTTCACTTCTACATCTTTGTGGGGGATTTTACCATAGTCAGATCGAAGTATTGTTCCCAAGACTGTTTGGTGAGTTAAATACCTAATTTTAGATCTGAACTAGTACGATTTTGTTCTTGGAATATAAACAAAACTGACGGGAATTGTGACATAATTTAGAGTGATAGTGTTGGTCATCTTCTCTTCAGCGACCAATGTAATTCCATTTAAAATGGCTCCATGTTTTTAAACTGCTGGGAGCCACAGTAACGTCGATTTCCACCACAGCTGCTGAAGACAGAAGATAAAAAACACGCACATTTTGATTTAGTATAGATCGATTTTTTTCACACACCAGACACCAAGGATGTTGCCAAAAATAGAAACTTTTTACCTCATTAGATGTAATGGGTTGTAATTCGGTGTATTTTTATCCTATTTGTCGCTGCAGATGTTTCATAGTTTTCATAGATGGTTCTCGTATAAAACAAGAGGGCCACCTGCAATTTACATTCTATTGAATACAATTTGTCTTTGTGTACATGTGTATAACATAATATAGAACAGTTTTAAATATGTGTTGTTGTCTTCGTATTATTGTGTCTGAATTTGTCTATTGCTGAATTATTTACGTCGGTCTAACTTTGATTTGCAATTGCATCGTCTTCCTAATGTTACCCTATAAATGTAAAATTCCAAAATAAAAAAAAATAAAAACATAACTCGAGGGACGCTGATGTATCAAATACGTAAGCTACAGATGGGTTTGGGGTTAATTTCGATTATATACGAGACAACTTCCGGCATGTCACAAATGACATTGTCCTCGGTCACCTGCTCATGGGAAGGTCGCAGTGCTGATGATGTGAACTCCATGTGCTCGCAGGTGTGCTTTTTAGCACGCTCAGACAATGTGGTAGTGCACTAGACACTATTGACACAACAAACAAACAACACTAACCTGTTTTATCATCAATAGAGGTCTCCTAAGAAATCCCTTAGTCTTTTTGCTTTAATCTGTTTGCCGTATCTACATTGAAACGTTGATGGTTGTTGTAGTACACAGTATTTGTGTTAATCAATTGTATTCAAGACAAAGCTTTAACCGATCTTTATACTGCTGTTTGAAATGACGTGTGTATTTCCATGGAAATCCAATGAAACTTTCTACTCAAACAGGCATTTCACGTGGAAAATTTCACATTTTGACTGGTATAATTAATAATGGTATTATTATTAATTATAATCATCATTGCCTCGTGAAAAGTTTGTGACTGAGGTAACCCCTTTTTAGTTTGTTTACATCCGAAAATAACAGATGATTGTGCCTGAATGGGAATAAGAAAAATATGATCTGTTTTTATTCTGATTTCTGGCTTTGCAGTGAATGCTTTAACTCGTTTATCTGTCATTATACTATACATTCTCTCTGTTTTAATTTTCCTTATTTTTTAAAACGTTTTTATAATCCCTTTTCCTATTACAAAACATTACTTTAGCATTGAAACATCCCTATATGGAGAAGTATATTTGGAGAGAGCGAAAGAGAGAGAGAGATTAGGTCTGTTCCTGCAGATTGGCGTGTAGAGATAGATAGATGTCAGGGAATCCTGGACTCTCGGGAGCAGCGAGCTTTAATTAAGCTGTATGCTCAGTTCAATTGGGTGTGCTTACAATCTCAATAACTCTTCTTATCAGGAGGATTGTGGACCAGCACGAGGGCCAAAGAGTATAAAGCCCATAGTGCTAGAGATAAAGACTACACTTCATTTTAAATGGCCATTCTGAATGTGTTAGATCTTATTTTAATGTAAAACATCATATTTTGGTGACGTGTGTGTTACAATAGAGTGAATGCAAACAAAGCACACACAGTATAGGGATAGTTCACCCAGATTTGAAAATTCTGTCATTATTTAGTCAACACATGTCAATCAAACCCGTCCCATAGGGTTTTATTTTGAATCTTTACGCAGCACTCGTACTGCTATTGCTTTGAATAAATTAAGCAGTACATTTCCACTCACACTCATCATGGCATCTTCTGTAAAGCACCTGCTGCAGGTGGAGCAATATCACAGTTGTCAGGCTGTTGAGTGTGTGATGTTGTGGACAGATTCCAAACTGGTCCTCCAGGCCATCCCTCACTGCTGGGATGTGCAGGACCAAAGGGACACTCTGTAATACTTAATCCTTTTTGAATTCAGATTATGCTTGACCAGACATAAATTGACATATAAAAATGACTTTAATGCACAAATTTATCTTCATAATATGAGTTTATCCATTCAAAACTCAAAAAAGAATGTAGGAAAAAAAAGTTTCTAATAAATGATGTTTAAAAAATAAAAACTTATATTCATAACATTACCCCCAACAAATGTGCCATGTTTATAATAATAAATGTCTCTTGAGCACCAAATCAGCATTTTAAAATGATTTCTGAAGGATCGTGTGACACTGAAGACTGTAATGATGCTGAAAATTCAGCTTCGCACCACAGGAATAAATAACATTTCAAAATATAACAAAATAGAAAACTGTTATTTTAAATTGTGGCCTAATAATATTTCACAATAAGACAGTTTTTACTGTATTTTGATCAAATAAATCCATTCTTTCTTTCAAAAACATTATTTTACTTCCCCAAACTACTGAACACAACAGTAATGCAAATTTCAAACAAAAACATAGTAAAACTTTAGTTCTGTTTAGCCTTAAAATTATACTATTACACTGTAAAAAAAAAAATTTTTTTTCTTTTGTCAAATCAACTTAAATAATTTATGTAGTTCAGATAACATAATATTTTGAGTTTCTGATGCTTAAATCAATCTCCTTCATTGTATGAACTAAATTTTTCCACTTCATTCAGGTTACTTCATTTTTTTTAAGTTAAACCAACAATATTTTTTTACAGTGTACATGTTTCAATTGTTTTTAAAAGACTTGGTTGTATTTTTGTAAGATGGTAATGTCTTGATATAACCTTACAGACCAGTGTTTACTGAAAAAACAAATTGGTTGTTTGCATGGTAGCGAATATCATGGTCTGGAGCGTTTGTTCCCGTGAGTGTGCTTCCTTAAGTGCAGTCTAGTGGAGACTCGAGAGAGAGAGGAGGATCGCAAAAAAACATCAAACGTCTCATTTAGTGATTCAGTCAGTGGAGTTTTAAGGGCTTTCAGTATTTAGTGAATTGCACTTCTCTCTCCCCGTTTTAACCTTTATTGTTATCATAAACGCTGTGAAAACTGTTTTTTCGGCATACGGCAGCCATTGTTAGCTTGACTGTCTGAAGTTCCCTGTGACCTTAATTTTCTCGATTCTGGTGTTGATGCTTGAAAAACGCTTGCTTTTTTCTCATTTTCAGATGTTGCAACTTGTTAATCAGTTCAAACCCATCTAATATCTGACCTACAAAAGGCGAATCATCCCTGTGCTGGATCTCTGAGCCCTTTTAATCAATTTCAGCAGTTCGATCTTCGTCTTATTAAAATTAAAGGTAATTCGTTCTGACCTGTCGCACGTGTCTGTTGGGTTTCATGTGGTTGTCCTGGACTGTGGCCAGCCCACTAAACTTGTGTCTTTGGTTTTGTGCCATGATTCTCTGTCTCCCATCGTTTCCTCCTCCCATTTTCACCTTGACAGCTGTGCTTCTGCCTGATGGCTCAATATCAGGCTGGCCTGCTGAGATGTCTCAGTCTATTCCATCAAAATGGTCATCAGATTTCACACTGACCCGGCACTTTTTCAGATCACAGCAGACGCAGAGGCTGTTTTATTTGCTCAGAGTATCTTCATGCAGCTCTTGAATTTTAATCTTGAGCAGTAGTTTGCACTGGATCCCTAAGGACGCAGTGCCCTTAAAAGCAAAACATATAACAATCCTTTTGTAAGAACAACAACTGTGCTAGTTCTGCTTTTGCAACGTTATTATTATTATTATTTTTTTGCATGAGCCACAATGAAACAGTTCAGTGTCTCTTTAGCTTTTGCCCTGAAATGTCTAGTGTGTTATTAATAATAAACAGTGTAAAATAAACTACCATTCAAACGTTTCGATGTTGTTCAGATAAAATCTGACTGGGTTCTCCGAGCACTTCCCTTGAGCCCGACTGATAAAGGATTTTGAAGGCTGATACCGATACAAATATTTGTTGGTTTTAAAATCCGATATTCCGATATATCGGCCGATATTTTTTATTTATTTTTAGAAACGCACAACAAAACATTAATAGATTCCCCTAACATTAGTTATTTGTAGTTATTTATGAGTTTTAACTAAAATAATATGATAATGCATTTTAAAAAGAAACTTGTTTCTTTTATTGTCACAACAGAGCAGACTGATGTTAGTGGCATTAGCTAGCTTTGTGGTTAGCTAGTCTATGATGAGCCATAATTTAGCAATGGATAACGTCTTACTGCAAATTGCAAAACATACATTTTCAATATAACAGGCCAAGGAGAGATGGTACGTCTCATTGCTATAACTGTCACGCGCTATTAAAGAAATACTTCAGTCACATTGTCAAAAGTTAAAAGGACAGTCAGTCAACTACACTGTAACAATGTAACGTAACTATTACTAATTCCGCTTCATTCTCGGCTTATTTAACAGCAGCAAAACTGGACATGATAGTCACAAATTTTGTCGTGTTTATTTGAGTTAAGAGAACTGATGCGGATGTTCTTTTAATTGTTATTCAAGCAATGTATGTCTCGTTACCAACTCGTGTTGCCAACAGGGACAGTGTAGAGTGCCCTCTGGTGGACCAACTATACAACTCCAACACTCATGACATGGTTCAAGCGTGTTTCGTCCATTTTTATTTTATTTTTTAAAATATTAGTTTATCGGCCATTATAACTGCAGATACGAATAGTTTGGAAAATGCCTAATATCGGCCGATAATATCGGCCTGCCGATATATCAGTCTGTGGGATTTCCCTTTAATACATTTTTCCCTTCAATGCAAGCCAAGGCTCCTCCACATGTCAAATATCTAGATTTTATTGATGTTACCATCTTGATTATTGATTACCTCATTTACGAGATGAAAAGTAAATGCAATATATAGAATGTAAATGATATATGTGCACACTATATGTGGATATTTCTTGACCATCTGCCTTAGAAGGCTTCCCACACTGTGATTTAACCTACTTTAAATCCTCATGCTTTGGGTAAAAAAACTGAGGCCAAAGCAGATCCTCTGCAGGGACAGATGCAGTGATGGGATTGTTTTGATGTCACATATGTCCCCCACGGACTGCAGCTTTAACACCAATCAAGTTATCTGAGCTCTAATGTCAAACAGCCTCGTCAGGTCCGCACCAAAAGCATACTGTTAAATTCCCCTTAATTTAAGTGTGTGTGTGTGTGTGTGGGAGGCATAAGTGAATGTCTGGGAGGCATAAGATGTTTTTTTTTCTGAGGATGCCAACAAATAAGCTTTAAATCAATACAGTGAGTGGCTTTCTGTTCTAATAAGGTTAAACATTGTGATCCTTCAGGAATAATGCACTCTGTTCAACGCATTCTGGGAACTCTAAGAAGGGTTTTCGCTATAGTCTGCATTATATATGAAACTGATTGTATGTGATTGTATATGTGTGATTAAGGCAGACAAGTATCCTCATATACCCTTGTGTGTATGCAAGTCCTTGTTTCTTCAGAAATGACAGCAAGGAAGTGGCTTAATGTATAGGGAAAAAGCCAAAGTATGATGGATGCGATACTGTGAGTCTGTGACAGTTTGCGTCAGCATGCAGGGTGTCCCTCATCCCTCAGTGTGTGAAAAGAGAAAGAGATGGAACTCCTTTTTTGGCAGAGTTTAGTGCATCGGCCGCTCTATGCCACCACAAGAGCTTTATCACGCACGAACTGCTTATACCAGGGGTTTCCCTTAATTCAGTTTGTGATAGAGGGAGCCACAGAGATGGAGGTGAGAGGGAACATACAGGCTGTCTTCAGAATAGCAAATCTAAAACCTTCTATGCATCGTGCTTTCTTTAAACATAATACTTAAAATCAATTGGTTTAAATTTTTTATTTCAATCATTATGTATTTTATGTATGCTAATATGATCTTTTTTGTTCTTTTTGTTCTTTCTTCATTTTAGAGTGATAACACTTTACTTTTTTATTTTTATTGCATTCATTATGCCTTGTAATGCACCTTATAACCCTTGAATGGTCTCATAAATAATTGTAAACACTGTTATAATACATTATAATACTTATCTATTAATTGAAGACACCTTTGAATACACAACAAACAACCAATTTTAGAAGTAACAAAGAATCTGCAAATATTATAATGCATTTTAACTGTGGTTGCAATTAGTTCTGAAAATATATAAGGCGTTATACATAATGAATGCTTTAAGTAGGTGTAACACTTTTTTTAGGTATGATTTCTAACATGTTTGTGTCGTCATTGTTTGTTGAATGCCGAACGTTAAGATGTTGTTATACAAAATGATATTAAAAATGCAAGTTAAGATTATATAGTGCTCATTTAATGGCATTTATAAAATGAAACGATGTTTAAAATTTATATTTAAAAAGCACTATATGTTGTATCTAAAGATGCCATATTGTTGGGGTATAGAATGTCTTTAGTAAATAATATTAAATGATATGAATAATATATAATAAATGAATTAATAAATGAGTAATAAAATGAAAGATTAAATGATATACTAAATCCATATTGAACCCATAATACACGTGTACTTCATTAATAAATGTGACATTACTTCAACAACACTCCATCATGCTTTGAAACATTTGTCAATGCATGTTGTGATTTATTTCAGATCTAGTAGGCATTATAGAGTGTGCACTGCACAATATGCTTTACCTAGTGCATTTCCATTCTGATCCTAGTCATAGGTCGTGTCTCTCAGCTTCCCTGCAAACCCCTTCCCACTCTCCCAGTAAATGGCCGGGATTCAAAGGAAAGTGATTGGACTGGTTGAAATTGAACACATGAGAATGCATGTAAGTGGTCTTTGGTGGATTCCTGAGAACAGGGACAATGACCTTCCACGTAAAAAGAGGTTAAATTGTGACAGGAATTAATGGAGCATGCTGCTCATGTTACTTCATGATTTGTGTTCTGTTACAAACAGCAAGTGGTTAATAATCAACTATAAATATGTGATATTAGCATGTGAAGGTATCAAATTTTCATGTTGTGATAATCGTTGAAGCTTTTATTCTCATTACTTTATTCTATTTATTTTTATTCTATTTGCTACTCTCTTTAACTAAATGTGTGGAGACAATTTACAGTTCCTGGAACAGGCCAGATCAAATCACCATTTGTGCAAGGAAAAAGTGTGTGTGTGTGTGTGTGTGTGTGTGTGTGTGTGTGTGTGTGTGTGTGTGTGTGTGTGTGTGTGTGTGTGTGTGTGTGTGTGTGTGTGTGTGTGTGTGTGTGTGTGTGTGTGTGTGTGTGTGTATGTACAGGTTTGGCCAAATATCCTCGCATAAATAGTGAAACCGAGTAGTGAGGGTCCTCCTCACTAGTTGAAAGAGCTTATAAATCGGCCAAAACTTATTTTTATTCAAATCTATTGTTTTGCACATTTTATGAGGATTAGGGGTTGGGATAGTCGATAGAGAATAGCATTAACCTAATATAAAATCAATGAAACTTTATGCAATATCCTCGCTAATATAGTGAAACCAACGTGTGTGTGGGCTTCAGGGTCTCTTTACCCATATGTGACTGATTAACAGGGTGTTTTGAGGGCTAAAAGTTGATATTTGTTGACAGTTATATGTAAAATAGATTCAGCAATGCCCTATAGTAACATTGTCATCTGACTGTTAGCTCTGATCATTTTTTTTTTTTTTTCTGGTATTTTCTTTTCGCAGCTGTGTAGATACACATTTCCGCTGAAAATCTCTGAAATAGGAGGCTGGATCCCTGGGAAGTGTTTTTACATGAGTCACATTTCTTCGGACAGCACAGTCCACAGTTATGCAATACACATGGGAAGATGCTGGTGAATCAGGGTTTGTTTTTGCTGTAGGGTTTACCTAAAGTAGATTTTGATGTGATAAATGTAATATACAGAACTATGGTTGTCTGTGAGTCTCAGCTTATGCCTCGGTCTGCTGTTTTGATTCTTCATTTTTCCTTCCCATCCCTTTGGGAGCCCACTCTGAAAATAAACATCAGCCCTTTTGTCTCTATGGCAACAGTTTTACACTTCACTGAATGCACAACTAGAGTGGGCGGAAACTGAAAATGACATCGAGTTTTTTGTGAGGAAGTTAACTCGGGTTAATGAAGCAAGTCAAATCTTGTTGATATGGAATCTTGACTGATTATGGCAGTATGTAAAAAAAAAAAAAGTCTATGAATCTGCTAGATATTTCCAGCCAGAGCCTTTCAGTTCAATCTTGGGATTACAATCAGAGGCCATGATTGCAGTTTGACCTTTGCCCTCTGTCCAGATTTGTGGACCGTTTGGCTGAAGAATCTTGGACTTTTGTGGCAAGTCTTAAGCATGCTGAACATTTGTTGTTTTCTTTTTGTGTCGCTCACTCCTCGTCTAAATATTATTTAATGCCCTTCATCCGGATTTGCTGCTGGGATTGCTGAGGAGATTTCCACCTCCTAAGCTTTAAAATCTTAATGTGTGCTTGTAGTTTTCTCACGTTTTATGTAATGGAAGTTTAATTTCATGCTGCTCTGCAATTTCATCGATGAAAGGCACTGCACTGACATGAGGGAAGCTGCTAAACAACTTAATAAAAAAATTATTGAACTGCGTTTTACTCATTATTGTACAGATTTGAGGCAGAAAAGGTTTTGGAAATTGCTACAGGATGTAATATATATATATATATTCCAACTATATACAGTACAGTTCAAAAGTTCAGTTGGGGTCAGTTAGTTTAAAGGGTTAGTTCACCCAAAAATGAAAATTCTGTCAGTATTTACTCACCCTCATGTTGTTCCAACCCCGTAAGACTTTCGTTCATCTTCAGAACACAAATTAAGATATTTAAGATATTAAGATCGCTCCTGCATACAGTCCATAGGCTTCTTGAGGGACCGGCTCTTGCTGTCCCCGAAAAGTCATTAAAGACATCGTTAAAATAGTCCAAGTGACTACAGTGGCTCAATCTTAAGTTTATCAAACGACGAGAACACTTTTGTGCGCAAAAAAACAACAAAAATAACGACTTTATTTCAACTATTCACTTCCTTCTCCATGAGCCTGTAAGTCAGTTAACGTAGTGTGATTGCGTAGAGCTACATCACACGTAGGCTCACTATTGGCCGACACTGGTCATGTGTGTGTGATGCGTGTGACGTACAATAACAGAAGCTTACGCTATTAAACTAGTAACCTGACTCGCGCAGAGGGAGAAATAAACGAATAGTTGAAATAAAGTCGTTATTTTTGTTGTTTTTTTGCGCACAAAAGTGTTCTCGTCATTTGATAAACTTAAGATTGAGCCCCTGTAGTCACTTGGACTATTTTAACGATGTCTTTAATGACTTTTCGAGGACTGCAAGAGCCAGTCCCTCAAGAAGCCTATGGACTGTATGCAGGAGCGATCTTAATATCTTAAATATCTTAATTTGTGTTCCGAAGATGAACGAAGGTCTTACGTGGTTGGAACAACATGAGGGTGAGTAAATACTGACAGAATTTTCATTTTTGGGTGAACTAACCCTTTAACTGTTAGTTATTATAGTTAGTTATTTTCTTTACTTCCTTAATATTATTCAGTAACACTTTAATTTTGTCAAAAGAGATGGTAGACATTTATAATGTTTCAAAAGGCTTGAACCATGAGACATCATCAGTCCGTTGACGTTTGTTAAAATGAAAGCAGCCAGTCACGTTTGGACCCATCCCAAGGTCAGGAAGATCAGAACTGTGACAATAGACAGATGAGTCTAGTGGAAGTGGGTTAAGCCACGTCAGCATGTCTTTCCACCTTACAGCATGATCTCAGCAGATCTCAGTAGGCACATCATTCATACCGAATGTCACATTTTTGGTTTGTATTTGTTCATGCATCATATTTCTGTTGGTCTCACCTTGAATAGAGATTGAAAAAAAATTAAAGGTGGGACTTCATTTGCATAGTCACTCATTAGGCAAGGCAAGTTTATTTATATAGCACATTTAATACACAATGATAATTCAAAGTACTTTACATAGAAGAAATTAAAATAATCAAAACAATGATATGAATAATTAAAACAGTTTAGAATAAAAAATAAAATACAGTACAAACAGTCGGACGAACAGTGGCACAGTGCTCACTGCTCATACAGTAAATGCACAGCTAAACAGAAGTGTTTTGAGTCTGGATTTGAATGTGACTGACAACTGTAGGAGTTGAGTTTGAGTTTCTTTATTTAAAGGGACAATGCACATTAATTAACATGAGAACAAGGTCCAACATGTAAATGTGCCAGATTTAGCCATACAGGCTAATTTTCATCTGCAGTCACTACTGTAGGAGCACATCTTATCTCCTCTGGAAGCTGTTCCAGCTGCGGCTGGCATAATAGCTAAAAGTGGACTCTCTGTGCTTAGAGTGAACCCTTGGTGTTTCTAACTAGTGTGATCCTAATGAACTGAGTGATCTGTTATTGACAGCCCTCATTCAGTGAGCAACATATCTGCAATATATTGAGGTCCTTGCCCATTGAATGGTTTATATACCAGTAATAATACTTTAAAATCAGTCCTAAATGTAACTGAGAGCCAGTGTAAAGACCTGAGGACTGGTGTGATATGTTCATATTTTATGGTCCTGCTCAGAATCCTGGCAGAATCCATCCTAAGTCTTGACTCGAAACAAAGCATCTAATTCTTGCAATATTTTTCAGATGATAGTATGCTGATTTAGTTATTGCTTTGACATGACTACTGAAACTAAGGTATGCGTTCACCTTTGTTTCCAAACGCAATGACTTCAGTTTTGTCTTTGTTTAACTGAAGAAAGTTTTGGCACATTCAACTGTTGACTTCATCAATGCATTGGCACATGGCACACCAGATTGAAAATTGTTAAATTATCCATTAGAGCTTAAGAATTTGTTAAAAAATTCAAAAGACAACTTTTTCAATGATCTTGCCTATGAAAGGAAGATTTGAGATCGGTTTATAGTTGCTTAAGATGGTCTTATCCAGATTGCTCTTTTTCAGGAGGGTCTTGACAACTGAAGTTTTCAGGGAGTTTGGAAAACTCCCAAAGAGAATTTACCACTTCTAGTTCATCTGCTTCTAAGCTTTTTAATACACTTTTGAAAAAAGGTGATGTGCGTCAAGGGTGCAGCTGCGCAGGTTAATGTTTCAAGCTGCTGTACGGTTTCTTACAAAATGTTGCCTTCAATTTATTCGAAAACAGACATAGTAAATACTTTCTCAGGTTGTGGTCTAAACTGTCTGACCCCAAGAGCAACTCAAGGACGTGTTGATCACCTTCCTTATATTATTGATTTTCATAAATGGCACACTAGTGTTCTCATTAGCAGCAATCAAACACAAGGGATGCAAATAAAAAACAGTTTGTGTGAACGTTCCTGTCTCAGTCCTTGTAATGAACACATGAAGTGATTATACTGGAAGAATGATTTAAAAAACTGATCCTTGCATAAAACTTAGCCTTCAGAATGTTAATCGCAGACCAGAATCATGCAACATTTATACATTAACTAGCTAGCAGACTGTACCCTAACATCAAAACATCCCAGTTCCCAAGGCAACGGAAAAGAGCAAATTTAATTGTAGAGACATTCCCTTCGGCTCTCAGCTTTTATTACTGTTTACAGAGAGTGTGTAACTGAATGCTGTTTCGGGCTGCTACCCAATCTCAGGTCTACCAGGTTAATTAAAAATAAAAAGGGTGACTACACTTGCGTGATTACAAGGGTGGAAATGATTAGAACTCTACTAAGTACATCGCAAAGCGTGTTTTATAAACAGAAATTCAATACAAAGCTCTGTGTTGACTCAGGTGAGGTCTGCTGCAGATGTGACACAACGTGAGATTTGTCTGGGAATGTTGGGCTTTACTAGACTAGATTAGGTTCAACTGAAACCGATAGTGTGCAGTTCACATTGTTTTTTATTTACATTAATAATTAATAGTCATATATTGTGTTTTATGAATGTTTTTTTTTTGTACAGACAGATACAGAGATGGATGAGCTGCAAGATGTTCAGCTGACCGAGATCAAGCCTCTGCTGACCTACAAGGTGAGATAAACATATCAGAAACATCTATCTCAACACATCAGTATGCCTGTCTACTGTATACACATTCATAAACAAGTTATAGCTTACTATATCTTTCCTAGTGATACCTCTGTCAGGTTTTACACAACAAACACACATCTTCTGTCTTGTACATACCAAAAATTGTGTTTTTATAGATCCTAGGTTTAATACACTTATATCTTTTTCTGTTAGTTCTGTTTATTTTTTTTGTAACTATTATTATAATTATTTAAATGTTTTGAATAATTGTAAAGCCATCAAATGAAAGTAAAATGATAGTAGTCATCAGACCAGGTGTAAAGGCCCTCTGAAATGGTTTTGATTCGATATCGAATTAAATCCGGTCATTCAAACCACTTCAGGAGGTTTCCAGACGAAACCAGACAAGTGAAAATGCATCTGGTTGTTGAAGCCACATATGTAAATTTTCATCAAATATCATGAAAGATATGACAGCGGATTTACCAGATATGACAGCGCTACTGCAACACACATCGCCACTGATGAGTAACTCAGTATCTCTTTAGCAATTCGACGCACAAACTGAATTAAAAAAGTAAAAATAGCTAGGAATGAGCTCCAACTCCGTCACAATTTTTTGGTTTAGATTTTCCTTCCTTTTTTCATTCCTTAAGTCATTCTTTCTATTTTTACAAAAAAAAATTTACAATATCATTTGTTATGAATAGTCAGCTAGATGCAAAATCAGCAGCCAGACTTTTAGCTGTCGCTGATATGCACATACATGTATGAGGAGGAGCAAGATCTAACACAATATAAAGCCTATAGACACAGCAGAGCTTATACTATTGCTCTTTTCTCTCTGTAATGCATCGTGATTCTCACGCACACACGTCACGTCTCACGATTCATGCATTACACATCTGTGCCACACTCTCACACGTCTTTCCTCCTCGGCTCCTCGTGTTAGAGATCTGTGTTTTCCTGTAGCTGAGGTAAAGTTCCTCTCTACTTCTGTGTTTTTCTTTACTTCATCGAACTGAATAATTCATTAGAGAGCATGAAGCAAGTGAAAACAAATGGAGATGGAACAGGGGCGGATGGGGAATGGTTTAAGCAAGAGAAAAAGTGGAAGACTGCAATTTAAAGGATGGGAATGGGGTTGCCAAAAAATGATGCACAATGAAAGATCTTTCAGTCCAGTCCAGAATATTTTTTTTCTTCCTGCAGCCCCTATTGGCAGAAATGTTCATAATGGCATCCCAGGGTTTGTCAGTTCTTAAATCTTGTCACACCGCATCCATATAAAAATGCTAAAAATAGAAATGTAAATGTCATACACCCATTAGTGCTGAGTGAGGTCGCCAGTATAACGCAATAGGCAAGGGACAAACGTTTTATGGGTGGTCCTTCTCTCATGTTAAACTAATGAATTGGCTAAACCATAGAGCAGCCATAAGGTTAAAAAAAATGAAATGATAAACTAAGCTAAAATCTATTCAATTTGACAATACTGGTTGGAAATGATTTCGGTAACACTTCCTTTTACAGTACAGTACTTGCAGTGTACTTACCTAGAAAGTACTGGCTAATATAAGGTAAGTACATGGAACAGGGGTAGGTTTAGGGGTAGGTTCAGGGTTAGTACTAGTTATTACCCAGTAATTGTAGTTACTAAAATAAGTACATAGTATTTACATGGGTAACTGGACTGTAAAAGGAAGCTTTACCATGATTTCATTGTTTTATGTGTATTGAAGCAATAGTTCCCTTTCAAGGTGCTCACTTCGACATTACGTCATACTGACGTATATGGGGAACTCCTCCTTTCTTTATTTCCACTGAAATCTTATAGGCTAACGTCAGCTGGAGACCGCTGGCCAATTGACGTAAACATGCAAATGCTGTCCGGTCCGCGGGCAGTATAAATAGCATGGGCGCGCCAATTGCGTCAGAATAACGACTGAACACTAGCACAGCTGATCAAATGGCGAGCACGGCGGTTGACGTAATGTCTCGTTCCCGCTACTCAGGGAACCGAGGTTACGATAGTAACCAGAGACGTTTTCCTTCAGGTTTTTATCAGTACACAAAGGGGGTTGGTAGAAAAAAAGATAGTGTCAACTTAATAGAAATTATTTGTAATATTTATAATTGTATAATATCTTTCGCATAATGTTTGCACACATTAAATAGTTAATTAGAATTATTTTCATTACACTTGCAGGTGGGTGTTATTAGTTTTTTCCTTTGAAATACAAAAAATGTTGTGACCGACTGTCAAGTTCCATAAAACACCAAAAATGTATCATAAAAGTGTTATAAAAATCATCCATACACCTTAATTTTCTACTTTTGTGTTTCACTGAAAAAAACAAAATCAGCATAGAGGGGTTTAAAAAGACATGATGGTGAGTTAATTATGACATAATTGTATTTTTTGCTTTATTAATGGTCTGGTTTCACAGACACGGCTTAAGCCAGGATTAGTCCTTGCTTCAGTTAGGACATTTAAGTAGCTTTTATAAATATGCATTAGAAAAAAGAAATTCTGGTGTTCACTTTGAGACAAAACATTGGCACTAACATATGTCAGTGCAAGTTGCTTTCAGTTAAAACAGCTCAAGCATTTTAGTCTGGCACTAGGCTTAAGCCTTATCTGTGAAACCAGGGTAAATACGTAAACTGGAGGGACTCGCTGACCTCTCACTCCACCTAGTGGTGTCAATATAAAGAGCAGCAGTGGCTAGGAGAGAATAATTGATATTATGATCAACATTTGACATTGTTAGACAGTTTTATGCACCTCAGTGAGTAAGAAATAATCAAATATCGTCTCTTTTTCCTACAGAACTCTCAGAACTTCCAAGACTTTGACTGTCAGGTAAGAATCTTATCTTACATGTATTTCATTAGTGGATGAGATAAAAGTCAGCTTTATCTCTTAGATGCTCATTAGAAGTGACGGGATATGGATATTTTAGGCTGTTCAACCTTCATATTTTAATATCAAAGGTGCTATTTTGGGAAATACATACTATTTTGGTGTTAAAATAAGATGTAAAATGTTGTAGTTCTAGGTACTCAAGAACCTAATGCTTGCTGTAAAGCATATCATGCTTATCCACGCTGATTATTTTCCATTCTATTGAAAATTGAGATGATGGTGGTTGATATCTTGAAATATAGATGTATGCATCATTTACAAATTCATATCTGATTGGGTTTTTTAATGTCTCTGCTGCAATGAGGAAACAGAAATACATCGTCGTGGATTACATTCTCCTCTTTCAGTGCAGGGGTCTCAGATGAGCTAAATATAGCGTCTGCAGCTGTTGAAGTGAGCATGCTCAGACTCCTGCATGACCTGGTTTACATTAAATAGTGCCTTTAGTATTCCTTACTCAGCAAGCCTCCATACACAAGCTCACACACATTAAGTGTTAGTCAGAGGATGGGCCGACACTGAGCCAGCCAATCCAATCTCACTGTAGTATTGAGTGCTGCAGAACACCTACATGTGCATGAGATGGCTTTGGTTTTAGGAGGGACTGCTCTCTGCTGGTGAAGAGACGTAATGCAGTCTGTGGGGCCATTCACGCAGGATGCATTTTTACATTCCACTGTGCTTTTCCATGGTTTTTGCACCGAGGCGTGTTTGACAATTTTGTTTGTGTCTTTTGTTGTGCTTGACACGACATTCTAAATTAAATTAAATCAAAAGGTAAACTATCCAAAACCTTGTCTTTTCTAGACATTTTTTTTTTACATTCCACTGCCTTGCTTCTCGCATTTTGAACCACAAAAACGCATTCGTGGCATTTGTACAGCCGTCCAAAATATAATGCAAAAAGAAGATAAAATTGAAGATAAAAGAAGATAAAATTGAAACAGTCTATCGCCATTTTAATGCCTTATAGGTTTATGGTGAAATTATAAAAAATCATATTGTGAATGTGATCTCATTGCTTGTCTTTTGGGGTGTTTTTTTGTTTGTTTGTTGCAACTGCAGCCTCTTTTATTTCTCAAATATTTGTTTGAACAGATTACAGACTAATGGATTACATCTTGTTTTTGATATATATGAAGTTCTTGTTTAAACGTTTAATCTTTTATGTATATATTTATTAATATTATTTTTATTCGTCTTAAGTTTGCCATTGCTTTTTTCTTTGTTTTGTTTGCCAAAATACTTAGATCTCAGTTGGGGATTCAGCTCTCTGAGCCACCTTTTAGAGACCCTGGTTTTCCTTCTACTCTTAGCCAATAGTATTAGCCGAAGCATCTTGTGCGAATACTGCAAGTCATCACGACATGTTCATCATTATTCAGAGACTATTTCATCCTATAGAGGGCACCAGAAGCTCAGAGTTAGGCAAAGTCATATCCTTTCCTTTAATACAGTGTCATTAACATATTAAATAATATTCAAAATAAGCAAAAGACTGCTGCCCAGACAATAATTATTTATAGCATGATCACATCTCTGATCCCCTGCTCTTTGAGACCTTCTCCCAGACTCAGCCATCAAATAGGAATATAAAAATGTAACCCAAATGCCTACAATCATATTGACCTTTCTCTTTTTCTGTGTCCATTTTCAGTAGTTTCGAATGTAAAATATATTTTGTTGATTATGAAGTTTCCAGTCAGTCTCGACAGTCCTTCATAAGGCCGTGTCTGTCCATTTTGCCCTCTGGTGTGCACACGCTCGGCTGAAGGTCACTCGCACACGGCACGCTCCGCAGGACTGAGAGTGGCTAACACAATCTGATTTATTATTGAAGTGGTGGGTTCATCAATAGGTAATAAAACCATGGGTTGTACTTTATTGTAAGGTGCTTTTGTTACAGTTTAAGCACAGAGTAATATTAATTAACATACTGTAGTGTTAGGGATAGGAATAAAACACTGTACATACCTTTATAAATGCATTGTTCTATTCCAATCCACAAATGCTGACTTCTCTTGCCTTATGTGGTACAGCTCCAGTTGTGTTAGCTTTCCCTGACTATTGTGTTTGTCTACGGCGGCCCCTGGGGTGCAGCACAGAGGCTTACTGAATGAAAACCAATGTTTCAACCTCATCTATTGATAAATGGAAGCAAAGCAAATCAATAACCTATCAGAGCCCAAGATCCGCAGAGAGATTGCTCAGTTGATATACCACAATGCACCTCTGCTGGGTCATAATTCCTTCAGTGGGGACAAACTGTGTTCTGGAACCGTGATTATTTATTGCAGTGGTGGAAACACACATGGGAAAAAAACATTATTGTAAATCCAAGAACATTGATAATAGGTTTAGTTTTTGTTGTTGTACTGATTTGATGGCTCATTTTAGTAATTAGTTGTTTAATTATACACTAAAGTATTGGTTCTTGACGTGTCACAACCCACAAACCCCTAAATGCATATGCTGTAATGATCGGTGATTGCAATGAATGGAGATAATCAAGCACTTTGGAAATCACTAGGAGAAATATATAGCACAACCACGTAAACTAAGGCGTATACAACACCCAACCAAGAACTGGGAGGACTGAAGGCTTAAATACATAAGAGAGGCTGATCAACAGAACAGGGAACAGGTGCGTTCCCTGAGATCGACATATTTATCCATATAAAATAATGTACTGTTGTTTTTATATACCGGTACACACAATACTTTATATACAGTATCGACTTCTGTTGTCTTTATGTACAGCTAGTTATTTGTTATAAATACTATATAACCTAATCCTAACAGGAAACTTTCTGCGTTAAAAAAAAAAGGCAAATTTTTTTTTTTATATACTGTTCTTATAAATGAGGATGTCCTCAAATGGAGGGTTTTGGAAGGTTTCGTCAAATTTAGCTAACTTGTGGGTGCAAATATGACCCCAAAATATGGTTAAGGAGACACACACACACACTGTTTTTAAGTAAAAATACAAAGTTAAGAATATTATTATTATATAAATATATTATATTGAATATTCTAAATAAATGTTCTTAACTTTGACATCAAAAATGATGTGTCCAATCAAACTGTAAGGTCTTATTCTGTAACTGATGGGTGAGTTTACATGTACTCATCCTGGGAAATCTTGAGACTAAGCAAAACTATGCAAAGGTAAAAGAAATATTAATATATTGTACGGACATATTTGTATAGTTTCATGTGATAATCAATTATGCTTTTTATTGTTGGTCTTAGCCCCCACTTGATAAAATCAAATCTGCCCTGAGGCAAAAAAATAAATAAAATAAAATTAAATAATAAAAAACATGACAAACCCTGCCATGAATAAAATGTATTAATGAAAATAATTAATCCAAATCAATTGATTTGCAAGGTCAAATCTCTCTGCATCTTTTCTCTTGAATCTGAAGCTGTGAACTGGTTGCCCCCACCCAAAAACAAATCACAAAGTGCAGTGGAGGAGAGCGTCATCCCTTCCTCGCCCTTTATGTGTCTGCCCCACCCCTCTCATCCCTGCTTCTTCCACCTCCCGCCCACCTGACTTCCCCTCGTCCAATCAGAGCAGGGCTACCGTATGCACAAGCAAGCACAGCCTCCCCAGCGCAAACCGCAGTCACTTCTTTCTCCTCACTCTATCTCCTTCTCAACAGTCTCTCTCTCTCTTTCTCTCTCAAAACATACCTCCTCTGTTCATTTATTTCACTCTCGCCCTCTCTCCTCCTCTGTCTCCCCTCCCTCTTGGATCTCTGCCTAGCTACTGCTCTCCCTGTCCGTTCCCCTCCATCCATCCTTCAGCCACTCTCTCTCGTGGATCCTCCCATCTCCTCCTGTCTCCTCTCTGAAGCTGTCACTGTCTCGTGTGTGGAAACATGTCAACCGTTCTGGATGTGGAGCAGAATCCATGCACTGGAAATGCAGTGGTGAGTGTGTGTGTGTGTGTGTGACAGCCGAGGGTGATTCCTTACTCCTGATTCCTACTATTTTAGCCTTGGTATCCTCCTATGCTCTAGCAGGAATGTTTGTACGTGCATGCATGTTGTGGTTGATGTGTGAGCAAGTATATGTGATTCGTTCCAGTGAGGGATGTGTGTTGTCTTGCATTAGTCATGCGAGTCATGCGCCTCTCTGCTTGTTTACCTTATCACAGATTAAAGCAGTCAGAGACTAAACTGTTAGTGACAAAGATCTTCATTTTAGGAGCTTCAAATATACATGATTTACTCTAAGATGATATGTTGGTGCAGTCGAGGGATTGTCAAGTAAATAAGGATTTTGTGGATTTAAATATGGCACACGTCCATATATGATCATCAAACGGTCTAATAGGTCAAGCAAATCAAGGGCATTTGATATGGAGCACTTAAATGCGCTAGCATTACTAGCAGGGTGTGGTTGGGGATATACTGTGTGTGTTTCTAGGAATGCATATGGATGGTGTGTACTAAGGTCTGGGATGTGATCTGTGTTGAATCAAGTTTGTGCTGTGTAATGGCTCTCAGGCTTGTGGTCTGTGATTGATGCTATTAGCTGGAGGAGCGGGGGTGGGGGGCAAAGACTGGGACTGTTGGCTTGTATTCATTCATATACCTTGGCTTAGCCTCAGTTTCCCAAGAGAGAGCTGCTTTGATTGTCCTTTTGCCATGTTTGAATGTTTGCGTGCAAGGACGTACATATTCAGGATACAAGGGCGCTACATATAAATGATTTAAGTCGACTAATAAAAAAAGTGAGTCCAATAGTAATTTGATTATTTTGTAAATACTGTTTGAATGTAAGAAACCTCTCCCGACTTGGAATTTGTGTTTTGGATGCTCCCACCAGGCTTCTTGACTAGCTAAACCAGCAACATACTTGAATTTCTTCAGAAAGAATGGGCTGGTCGATCAGCGTTACTTTATTGTGAACAGCAGGTTGCAGGCGTTGCAGTGAAGAGCACAGCACAGAGAGGAAGATGATGTGCAAGTTTATGTTTATGGTTTTTAATGAATATATTGCAGAGTTTAAATCACCTTCTATTGTAGACCTAGTCAGGAACCATGATGACCCATCACTATTTGTCCCACTGTTTTCTTTTTTTCAGGCTAATTCCTATTCTGCCCCTCTTTCCAGACTCTTTCACACTCTCTAGACCCACATGCTGAGTTTAAATGCGTGATTGTGTGTGTCTGACATTTGCACCTACTCATTTATACCTACCTCACCCTGGCCTGCACAGATATGCAAGTATTACCCTATAAAATGATTTAATGAGTCATTTTTTTTCCCATATTGGTCTATTTGCTATTGAAACTAAACTTGAATTATACCAGGTTGGTTTTAGTTACATCTCAGCCATGAATCATGATTTGCTGCCTGCTAGTTGGTTGAAGGTGGTATTAGGGGGCGGGACATTCTCTAAATACCATTTGATTTGACAAAATCGGTGTAGTGCAGGATGTCATCAATATTTTTGGCTTGTTTACCTATAGGAAGGACTGTGCACATTGCTTATATCTGCATAAATCTACATTTTGTCAGTGTTTTAAACAAACCGCAGTAGTGAGTGACCAATTTTTCTTCGGTTTTGTAAAGTACATCCGAGTGAAATGGGTTATCGGAAAGCATGGACTTGATTGTTATCTGTTGGTTATTGATCAGCAGAGAGAAGTTGGTCATTTCTCCGGAAGATCCAGTTATGATATTAATTTAAGAGTTACAAAATCAGTTTTATTAATCATTCACAATAGAATATTGGTGAGTTTCAATGTAATGCCAACTTCAACATATAAGATGGCCACAAAGCGAGAAAGGTAGCAAATAATAGCCAGTAACAATGTTATGACTCATTAACACAAAGAGCTTCAGTGTAGAAGCAAATTTTTTCTCTTATCTCAGGACTCCTGTGTCCTTTTGCTGTGACTCCTTCTATAATTGATGGAGAGGAAGCTGTGATGTGCAGAACTCTCTCTACACACACACACACACACACACACGCACACACACACACACACACACACACACACACACACACACACACACACACACACACACACACACACACACACACACACACACACACACACACACACACACACACACACACACACACACACACACACACACACACACACACACAATCACTCAAGATGAAATTATTAAACTCTATCCAGGACCTTAGTTGATCCTCCCTCAATACAAAGCCCTGGACAAAATTCCCAGTTTTCCCTCTTGACTACAGTTCTTTCTCCTTCTGGTGATATAGATTCCATAATTCTAATTTTATGTCCTTCTGTCCTATCATTCTTCTCTGTATTAGTACTTCTCCTGTTGAGGAATCTTTCTGCTCATATGATGGCTCCATCTTGTTTTATACCAGTTGGATTTGAAAGGAACTTCACAGTCTGGTCCTCATTGCTCCATATGGTTAGGACAGTCTGGATAGACTCAATCAGTTGGTTAGCATTTGTATTAGGGTTATATGAAATAGACTCTTTGAGATAATAGACCGACTTTCTGTAAAAATAGCAGTATGCTATAACAATATGAATACAAATTGTGATGTAAAATTTCTGGTTGGCTTGCTACTAAAATTCTCAGGAGCTGGCGCAGCCATTTAGATTGTAACTGGTGATTTTAGCTATCTAGTTTTATGTGCAATATGAATCTGACAATTCTGTGAATGTTAAGACTCAAAGCTTTACTCTGTTTGAAAAGCGCCCTCTGTTTCTTATGTGAGCTGCAGTGCGTTACAATTCTGCTAAGTCATACTCTCAGGATGATGGTTTTGTTCTGCGGCCGCTCCCTCTGATGGCTCGTCAGCATCCGGCCAGCGTCCACATTGATAGTTTTGATTTTACCTTTCTGTTTAGAGGTTATCTTATCATATAGACTCAAATTTGGTGTTGGTTGATTTGGTGGAGGTTTTTTCTCATGCACACCGAGTCTGCATTCATTTAATCAAAAATGCAGTAAAACAGTAATATTGGGAAATATTATTACAATTTAAAATAACCGTTTTCTGTTTTCTATATTTTAATATGTAATTCATGAAAGACACAATCTCCTTATGATTGTAACATTATACCGTCTTTAATGAATCCTTGATTATATTCATTAAGTAGAAATTTCTTTTTAAAAATCTTATTGAGCCCACACTTTTGAACGTTAGTGTAGTGTTTATGTTTGCTCTTGTATTAAGGATAGGTAACTACTATATTGCAGCACTAATTGGGCCCTTGAAAGGATGCTTTATAGATTTTGGCTTTCTTCCTAAACCGATTTAGATGATGATGACTGGAGTGAAATTAAAGTACAAGAAATTCACGGTTCATCCTTTCAGCATTTATCTATATTTATTTTTATTAAAACATTATTTCTCTGGATTTAGATCACTTACATACTATAAATCCAATGGATTTCAGTATGATAAATTCACATGGATAAATCACTGGATAAATTCATGTAATATTTTTTTTCACTAATCTTTTTGAAGATTCTTTAAATTAGCCATAAGCCAAAAGCTGTGTATAATGCAATGAAAAACATTTCTAATTCTAAGCATTTCTAAGGCACACACCCATAATGCAACAGTACTGATGTGCAGTTTTCTTGGCCTTCCTGCTAGATCTATCTATTGATCCTACAGCCATCTGTCTCAGCCACTCATGGGAGATATCACTTTCTACACAAATACATTCTTCCTGAAAGCAACAGCACCAACATTCACTCACTTAGTAGCAAAGTAAACCCTTAAGCATTTCCTTGCAGCCTGACGAAGTTTTTGAGGAGAGATTTTATTTCCTGGATTTGACTTGTTGTTTGTTCCAGGAGCATGACATTGAAACGCCCCATGGTGTGCTCCATGTGACCATGAGGGGCAGCCCTAAAGGCAACTGCCCTGCCATTCTCACCTACCATGACATCGGCCTCAACCGTATGTGAAAAAAAATGAAATGACAGACAAATTGTACACTTGTCGGAAATCTGAGTGTGATGATGACGTTGGTGTTTTGGTTGGTTTTCAGACAAGTCCTGCTTCAACACCCTGTTTAACTTTGAGGACATGATGGAGATCACTCAGCACTTTGCCGTCATTCACGTAGACGCCCCTGGCCAGCAGGAGGCAGCACCCCCCTTTCCCACAGGGTGAGTGGCACGTACTGACCGCCAATGAGACAATACTGCCATTATTGACATGGTCAAAATCTTGATTACAAAGCCCTGCATCTTGAAAAACTATTTCTGCTGATTTGCATGAATTTCAAAGTATTCAAAATGTATCAAATGTAAATGTCTTTTTTTTTTACATAAACACAAGTAAAACACAAGTTTTTTTCACAAAATATGTTGTTTGAATGTAGTAAAACACTTGATGTAGCAGAGTGGTGTTATTTATTACTTCTATTACCTTGGTTAAAATTGGTTGGTTATATTCCCATTGATTATATAATTGTCATTTTCTGTCTTTGTTGCTCTTCAGGTACCAGTACCCTACCATGGATGAGCTGGCAGAGATGTTATCCTCAGTCCTGACTCAGCTGAAGTGAGTAACAAAGTCCAGCTGGTGCATTAGCAATGAATTACTCTCTACCACATCACTCAGACCGACAGAGCAGGACATCACTGCATCTGTAGGACTGTTTGAGTAAATTACAATATTTCCCCGTAGGGAGCTCTGATGAAACACTGCAGATGTTGAAAATGACACAGGATGTGTATGTATCCGTTTGCAGGGTGAACAGCGTGATTGGCATTGGTGTGGGAGCAGGTGCATACATCTTAAGCCGTTTTGCTGTGAGTTCATACGTTTTTCTGCTTTTCATTTCACTTTCATTTTGTTGTCTTAAAACATTGTCTGTGCCTTTATCTCCGTCTAGCTCATTCTTTCTTTCTTTATAACGGTATTGAATCCCCTAAATTAGCATTCTGTTTGCCTACGTAATACTGAATTGCCTCCCAAATGCCTCGGTGTAACCACAGCAACATTTTTGTGTCTCAGCTGTAAACAAGGAACATGGATGCCAACAGTTTAACCGTTTGCCGTTATCTGTTTTTATCTAAAGGAAATAATAGCAACTGGAGATGTATTAGTGATTGATAACCCCTGCATGAATCAACAAGATTTTTTTTTTTCTTCTGTCTCATGTCAAGTTCAAATTTTACTTTCCCTGAAACATTTTGACTGGCCCGTTATAAAAATGTTTCATTGGAAGTATAAAACAAATCTATTTAACAAAAAAAAAAATAAAGAAATGTTTTCTTTAAAACAACCATTTACAGCAAAGAATTCGTTTTTAATATAATTAATTAATTAAATAATACATTTACAAAAAGAACTTCTACATCATATACCACTTTAATCTTCATAAACACTAGATTTTGTAAATGTGTTATATGCTTACTATCAGTTTTTTAATATTTCTATATATTTTATCCTTTTATTTTGAATAATTTTAGTTCTTCAACTTGAATTTAGTTTTATTTTACTGATCATTCCTCAATTTAAGTTTTTACTATATTTTCAACTAATAATAGTTTTAGTAAACAATAAAACACTGAAATGATGCTGCATATTAAACTACGGTGTATATCACATATTTTTTATATCATCCCCACCTGCCCTTTTAGTCAAAAAAGTGCTGCAAAAGCTGCATTGCCCCCAGAGGCTCTGAATGCAGGACTGTTATTACACTGCCTGCACTGCAGCCCCAAGCATCTGAGGCTATTGATCAAAGTCTAAATATCTCTGACACACTCACAAGCCTGATATATTCAGCATTTCTTTTATGCAAAACAACCCATAATACATCCCTTTCGCTCCCTCTTTTCTCATTCACGCATCACTAAGTGCCCTGTGTTATTTTCCTGTGCTGTGCTCTCTCATCCTCTCTTCGTGTGTGTGCATAGACTGGCTCACTGAAAGATTAATGTCACTGACAGTCAGCTGCAGGAAGATGCTTTGAGTTCAGCTGCTGAAAGCTCCTCCTCGGCCATGACTACATGCATTTTTAAATCACTCTCCCCACGTTGCCCTCATTAAAGACCCTAACTCCCTAATTTCCTGTGCTCTGTCTGCAGCTGATTCAGCCATCCCTGGTAGAGGGGCTGGTTTTGATCAATGTGGACCCCTGCGCTGAGGGCTGGATAGACTGGGCTGCTTCCAAGGTGAGTTAACACTTTGATCAAACAGATGGCAATTATTTATATTATATATATGGCGATCAGCTGTCCGTCCTGTTTTCCTATAGTCTTAGGTGTCTTACATTACAAAAGTTTATTGCTTTATGCAATAAACTCGTGCTTCCCTGCAGTAGGTCTAAGGCATGTTTACACAGGTGATCAGGGACCCTGGGTATCTTTCTCCTGGTGTTTTTCAGAATCAGTTGAAAGGTCTCTTTAGTGTTCTAAATTATTGGAATTATGACATTAATGTTTTCACTGACAAGGCTTAAGCCTAGTTCTAGACAATTTAATGCTGCGTTCATGTGCTATGGAAAATAGGATATTTTCCACTTGTGAACTGGTATTTACCAGTGTGTTGCGTTCAAGTGCTTTTGTTGTCGTATTGTGGTAAAAAGATGGACCTGTTATTTAGCTAAAACTATTTTAGATTGCTTAAGTCGTCTGCAACAGCAAGAAAATGATTTATCAAAACTCAGAAGGTAAATAATATGCTGTATATTTTCTAGATCATGAATAGTATATATATTTTTACCATTCACGACTCTCGCGGTGCTCTCCGCAATTTTGAAACGGTCAAAGGTTATCTCATCTCGGCAACTCGTCCATCAAAATATTCTATGAGTTGCCCAGTGGTAAATACCACATGAGGGGGTGTTCATGTGCATTTTCCACGTCGGCTTTTGGTATTTACCATAATTACCATATCACATAAACGCAGCACTGACATATTTTAAAATGTCATCTCGAAATGCAAAATCCTGGCTTAATCTAAGCCCTGTCTGTGAAACTGTCTTAGGGACTGTACTACAGGCGCAGCATTATGTTTATATTTCATTACTTTCATAGTAATCCATATCCACATTATTCTATTTTCTTTTAGCTCACTGGGTGGACTAGCAATCTAGTGGACACCGTGATGTATCATCACTTCAGCACTGTGAGTAAACCCATCTGGCTTTACAATACTTATTCCCATAATGCTTTGTGAGCACAATGAGAGCCAGCTGGCTTTTATTTATCTTTAAAGTAATGTTTTTATTTATTATTCTGATAAATTAGGAGGAGCTGACTGACAACCAAGAACTGATTCAGACGTACCGCCTGCACATTGCCCAGGACATCAACCAGGACAACTTGGCCCTTTTCTGTGGCTCGTACAATGCGTAAGTTACTTTTCATTAAAGAAATCGCCTGTATTGGTCATTACTTATGCTGACAAACTAAATTAGGTCTTTGGTTTAACAGCCGTCAAGACCTTGGAATCGAGAGGCCAGTTGTTGGCCTCAATGAAAACATTGTGAAAACGCTGACGTAAGCTTTTATTTCATTTGATTATTATATTTGATTATAGGTCTTTGTATTGGTGTTTTTTTTTTTTTTGTTTTTTGTCTATTATTTTTCACCACTGTCTGTCCCTGTACAGATGCCCTGCTCTTCTGGTGGTTGGAGACACTTCCCCTGCTGTGGAGGCTGTGGTAAGTTTGGAAGTACAAGGTCATTTCCCCCCTTTTGTTGCTGTATCCCCTACTTCGAAAACGAATGAATTATTTTTATATTACAGGTTGAATGCAACTCTAGGTTAAATCCAACAAAGACCACCTTGCTGAAGGTAAGACAACATGGGTATAGTCTAACATTTTGGTCTATTTAAGTGGAACATTGTGAACTACGTGTATTTCAAAGTGATATTTGTATATTTTTATTTTTTCTTACTTTATTTGAATTCTCTTTCTCTATGACAGATGGCTGACTGTGGTGGTCTGCCTCAGGTTGTTCAGGTTAGTCCTGATCTTTTAATTCTTGATATTGAACACCATATTAAACACCTCCGCCCCTGCTGTTATCTTCACCAATGTTCAAGTGTGCATAATGTAATATGAATGTGTAATCCCGTTTATATTACCTCTAATCTCCCAACAGCCTGGAAAGTTGGCCGAAGCCTTCAAATACTTTGTACAAGGAATGGGATACAGTGAGTATTTTTATCCGTTTACCTCAGCGTTTGACCTTTTCTAACCTGTGAATGTGTCTTCAGTGAAGTTAGTTTAATCTGCAAGGCAATCTGGGACAGCTTTCTTCGTAAACATGCATTTGTTTATCTGCGTTTCTGAGACACTGGCCCATTCTGATTATCAATTCAGCACAACACTATGACTAATGGTCGTCTTTTATTGAGAAAAATCCGGCTCAGGGAGTCTGTCTTTGTTTCTTTTCTCTTTTCTTTTTACCGCACACAACTCACCATGACTTCCCACACACCCTGTGTTTTGATTAGTTTTCCTTCCAAACTAGAGACGTGTACGAAATAGCAATGTCCTCTGAATGAGCCCTCCCCACTTTTTGGTTGACAGGTTTCGGCGCACCAGTATAGTGCTTAATGTGCTGCCAGCGCTCTGTGTGAAAAAATGTCACCCTCTCTCTGACCTCATACCTCCCCCTCCAAAGATACTTGCTGTTTCATTTCTGCACTGTTGTATAGTCTTTGTTGCAATCAGGCAGGAATCTACATGTCAGGCGTCGGACCAACGCAGTAACTTTTCAAGAGCATAATACTTTGTAACATTCATCCCAGGCTTTTAAATTAAGCCATCAAAACTCTAGAGATTTTTTAAAGGGGGTCACACCATGAGGAAAATAATTGCTAAATCGTATCTTGAGATTGAAGAGAACATTGTGCTATAAAAAACATACTTTGAAACATTCAAACATGACTAAAAAGAGCTTCTTCTTTTTTATTATTATGGGGCGACAGTTATAGAGGTATCCGGAGGTCATATATAGTGAAAAGATGACTGGAAGTTAGAGTGAAATTGGATAATAGTTATGATGAATAACTTCATTGTGAATATCAGGGAAAATTATTAAATAATAAAAAGATGCCAAAAAGTATATAATTATTAAAGAGCTTTACCCGTCATCCATCCTAAATAGTATTTGCAATTAGAATTAGTATGTCCCAGATCATTGTGTTGTAATGAATCCAAAGATACCCAGATAGTCTACTATTACCACCATTAGAGATGCAGATCCGCACACACTCTAATGGCTAATATTGTCCACAAACCATTGTGCCTTAGATGAGGCTTCGATAAGAACTACAAGCACTAATAAAAAAACTACAAACATGGCGAATGTCAACTGTTAAGTGGAGATGGGTTTTACTCGTGATTAACAATCAGTATCTAACCTGATGAAAGAGTATTTATTTAAAGTCATCCACTTTATATTTCACTTGCAACAACTTTTCATAATTTATAGAAGTACAGTTGAAAGGATCCATGTATTTAAGCGACAGAGTGGTTCGTTAAAATTATGACTAAGTAGTATGTCCCAAAGCTTCCCTACTCTTCTGCTACACACTCAAAAGTATTTACATTTTCTTCACAAAAACAGTACATCTTTTAAGGGGTAGTATAAGTAGGCGAATTGGGACACAAGTTTTTTTTGCCTCTTGGCGCCCTCTGTGGGCGAGGAGCCATAAATTAAGCATTAGGCTCAGCTCACGGAACTGCAAAAAAAGGATTTGTAATTTAAAACCCTGCAGAAAGGCTACTGAAACACAGCTGTAAACAAGTTTTACTGTGGTAATCAGTATGGTTGAGGTTGTAACTTGCAAGGGTACGTTTTAAAACGCAGCCGTCCCCGACAACAGTCAGTATCTGAACAGTGTCTAGCCTCTATTCAAATTAATAGAAATATTCAAAAAAAACATTTCCATGAAATACCTCACACACTTTTCTTTTTATATCAAAACCTGTACAGATATCTTATTGTTCTGTCTATCTGTCTCCCTTCAACATTTGCAAACAGTTCCTCATGTTTTGCTCAGCCATTTGAGCACTGAATCAGGTACCCGGGTGTGATCCAACAGTTATTTTTGACCGGTGTTTACATGCTTGCATGGTTCACCTCTGTGCTTGTGTTTAGATATATTTGCATGTAGATATTTGACATGGTAATATTTAGTGGTTGACCGAAATGTGTTTTTCAATTTTGTGTTCTTTATATATATATATATATAATTTTTTTTTTTAGTTTAGTTTATTTTCCACATTTTTCAGAAGGTATGTTTTGGTTTTTAGTTTTGCTCGAATGTGTCTTTTGCACTGTGTTTGGTAGATCTACATTTAGTCAGAAATGCCTCTATGTGCACATTTATACTTTAATGTGGGCAGAACCATGACGAATATGTAATAATCTATTATTACATTCTCGGTTTGGTTTCCTCTTGCATGGTGCTTGCTCTACCTGTTTTTTTTTTTTTTTTTTTTGCAATTAACCCCAATTCTACTGAAGACTAAAAAAATCACATTCTCATATCTCACTCCCACCTCATAGTACCAGCGGCTGGCATGACCCGTCTGTCTCGATCCCGGTCCTCCTCCTCCAGCATCACATCCATGGATGGCTCACGCAGCCGCAACCTGAACAGCCCTCTGGACGGGCCCAACTCTGGAGTCCTGGACAACCAGGCCAGGCCACAAACCATGGAGGTCTCCTGCTAAGGAATCTGCTGTCTTCTGTCCTTTCACCCCTCACCTCCTGTTATTTGTGTCCTAGATACCTACATGTTTCTAATGCCTTTAATAGTGAGGTAGGGGAGGCTCGAAGGAAATGTATTATATGCTGAAGGTATGCATAATGAATATATACAGATGTTACTATACGCTAGCCACATTTTCAATCATAAAAGCAGATACAATTAAAGACTAATATATATTTACACATGAAGGGTCTTCCATCATGCTTTTTATTTTCATTTTTTTTTACCACGGTTTGTGTTACATGGAATTAATTCCACCTCTTTTATGAGCCACACTCACATAAAGGAAAACACATGCATTAAAAAAATGTTTTTTATGTTTTATGGTGTGACCTGTGACATTTCCTGTGCTCTTATCGTGCTACACTGTGTGCTATTGTTTAATTTGTTATGTCTTACAAATGTGTTTTGTTGTTGAATACACTTTCCTGTTCATCATATGAATGTAATGAATGTTCAGTAACTGACTTTTGTTGTATTTATATTAAAAACTCTAATGGGTTATACTAAAAAACATCAACCATTAGAACACAATTGCTTGTAATGACTCGTCAGACAAAAGAAGTGGAATATTATTCTTTATTTACATTTTAATAATTGTTTCTTTTTATTTTTTTTTTAAATTACATTAAGCCATCACCCTTTTAAATGTTCAAACACAAAAGTAGCATGGACTTAGTTTGTACATTAATTAACCATTTTTTTTAACATAATAATTCTTAATCAAAACATTAATAAATGCACACATGGAATGACAGATGTATACGAGTACGAAATGGTGTCTGACAAAGTCACTGTCCACTGATTCTCAATTACAAAATAAAGTTAGATCATGGAAAATAACACTGGCCATGCATTGTTTCATGAAGACGTTTATAACTGCTATACTTTTGCTTTCAAAATAGTATAATATTTTCAGAACCACTCCAGAAACAACCTATCAACGGTGTGCTTATAGGAGATGGAAGATCAAGTCACAAAGTTTCCAACCACGCATGTACTTTTTTTGCCCCTCACCTCAAGCAGCTCTTCTCAGGTTGTGGTTAGGCTACACTATTTTTACCAGTCTCTGTGCCAAGAAAATGTTAGAAGCTCAAAGTTATCACGTACACACAAAAATACCTCATGAATGATTTAGCATTTGCTTAACTTTCACATATGTCCAATCTATATGTCTATATACATTCTATGTATAGAAGTCCTTAGTCCCTTACAACAGTTTTATTCTGACTGTTGTATGATTTATGGATTTGTAAAGTCTTAGCACAGGAAATCTCATTTGCATGTTGGTTAGTTCACCACAACTACCCAGCAGAGCACAGAAGTCAACTCACACGCACAACAGACAACAGAGGATAAAGGTATCGTCAACACCGTTGTGCATTCATCCAGTGATGGTGAGATTCCTATAGTTTGCGCTCTTTTATCATATGGCCTACCAATTATTTTTCTATCTTGTAATTTTAGCGTTTTCGCACACGAATTTGAAACAGAGTTAAGTATTTATAGCTGTCTGGTTAAATGTTTATCTCTTAAACCATATTCCAAAAATAGAACCTTTATTTTTTAAGTCTGTCTGTTTTTATATTAAAATGAATAAATAATATTTTGTGTAATTGAACTTTTGAGTAGTTTTGTCTCTTCAGTTGGGTTTTCAGGCTGGATTATGTCATAAAATCAGAAAATGGCCATCAAATAACGATGGGGTGTCTAACAAGCAGACTGTGGCGTCGATCTGTTCTGGAGGATACCGTATTGACGTCTGATGGGTGTTTGAGTAAGAGCGTGATTATGCAATTAATCTTCCACATATGAACAGCTTTTCTTTGTCAAACACCTCTAACTCAGTTAGTTTTTACTCTGTATTAAATATTTTATCAGTCATGTATGTGTATAATTATCCCTCATCTCTGTCTCTTTTACTTAAGCTGCAGGAAATCACATGCAGATGGCAGTGGCTTTATGCAACTTTTCACCCCACAGGTCTGATGTACATACTATATTTTTAGGAGACAGACTGAACATTATATCCGAGTAAGTAAAGATTGTTTTTTGACATAAATGCATGTAAGTCTGTGCTAAAATAAATTCAGAATGGTTTGGTTTCTGTTACAGAGATGATGACATGTTGAGGGTTAGTTGTACATCAACTGACACAGCGTTTTTCATTCCTCACACGTACATTTCCAAAGTGCACAATAGGTCAGTCATGTTCAGACTTTTTAAAAAAGCATTCCTTATTTCCAAAAAGAAAAGAAAAAATACAAATGCTAAAAACATTTTAAACTTTCTGTTCTTATGGGATACCTGAGTTTGAGTCTGGCCTGGATTGGGTCCCCCCTCTCTCTCTCTCTCTCTCTCTCTCTCTCTCTCTCTCTCTCTCTCCCATGTAATGTAGCTACCACTGTGTCTATCATAAAAATAGTGAAAAAGAAAAATATAGACAAGGAGAGTGTTATGTGATGTCATCAGATTATAATTAGGCAGTGGATTAGATTATAATTAGGCAGTGGATTTAATCATACCACGTGATCACTGCTGATTGAGTGATTTTGAAAAAAGTGTGATTATCATGTCCATTATTAACTTTGCCAAATCTTGTTTATTTCAATAAAGCTGGCTGTTTGAAGGGATCACCAGGAGAAATGCAGAACAACTTCTTATGCTGCCTCAAAACTACTCTGGATGTTTTCTAATTCGGGAAAGCCAGTCATGCCCTGGTTAGTCCATGCTAAAAGCAATTTATTGCTTGCCATCTTTTGTATTAATAAGTCTATTACTTAACCTTAACAAATGCATTGCTGTTGGTTGTAGGTTCCTATTCACTCTCAATACGACAAGATAGAGGCCATGTGCACAATGTAAAGCACTACAGAATCCATCAGCTCGACAACAACTGGTTCTATATCCACCATAACCGTACCTTCTCCACCATCACCCAGCTGGTAGACTTTTACTCGCGTAAGCTCAAATGACAATAATAACAAATTGCTCCTGAGCTCAGTATTTAAGACAGTCCATTGCATTTCATTTGAATGTTAAAATAGATCAGAGAAAATACATTTAATCTATTTACAGGACCTTTTAATGGAACGTACTGTCAGCTGACTGAACCTTGCTTACTTCATGACCCGAACACGACTGTAGCGCATACACCTTCACCAATAGCATTCCAGAGGTCCAATCTTAACTGGAAAGATGTGTCTAGGTGAGTTTAGTTTTTATTTGGATCACATTTTCCAGACTTTTCTTATAATTTAGGGTAGTATGATGCTTGCTTTGGTTGTTCTGTGTTATTCATAGAAATAACTCCTATTTATCATCAGGTCGATGATTCAAAGGCAGTTAAAGGGGACGGATCAGGAGAGTCTGGTTAGTGAAGGACTGCGAGAGTCTATGAATTCATATTTTTACATCACAGAGGAGTTGAGCTGTGAGGACGAATGAGTGACATACAACAAAGAACAGATATTGATTAAAATCAATAATATTGATTAATATTGAATATCAGCCTTAATAATAGATTTTTGATGGGCATTTTGACCACAACGCTCTCTCCTGTACAAAAACATTCTTAGGCCTGAATAATGATCATGGTATACTTTACAATATGGTCTCATTTGTTAACATTATTTATGTGTAAACTAACATCAATATCGAGGAATATATATATATATATATATATAATATATATTTTTACTGCATCTATTAACCTTTGTTGACATTTTATGTTCATCTTTGTTCACAGTGCATTAACTCATGTTGACAGATACAACTTTTAATCTTAAAAATGTAGTAGTAAATGTTGAGATTAACATGAACTGATTAATAAATGCAGTAGAAATATTATTTATTCTATGTTCATTTTAGCTAATGTAGTTAACTAATGTTAACAAAAAGCCTTGTTGTATATTTTTTGTTATTTATTTAATAATCATTTTGGTTTTAATTTTATTTCGATTTTTTTTGTAAATTATAGTCATGTTTTGTGTCTATTGTAGTGAGCAGGATGCATTACCTTGGGAAATTGCTCAATAGGACTTGGCAGACAATAAAGTAACAATACAATCTATAAAGTAACTTACTTTAATACAGTTATGTGACATATGTGTCAGTATTTACTGTACATGGTCAAAATGCAAATGTATTTACCCACCTTTTAGAATTGTGAGAGCTGATGTGTTTATGTTTTGTAGTCATGAGACTGACCAATTGTAATAATGCAGGCCTATATATATACCCTTTAAATATGATATGAAGCAGATAAGGTTGCTGCATCTGTATTATGACATTGTCTGCACTTTCATTTATAGTTGACAACTTACTCAACTCATTTATTTAAAATACATTGTATTTGATAGTAAAATACATCAGCAACTCTTTTTAGTCCATTAGTCCAAAGTGGTCACAAATGCTAGTCCTGCCTCTCATGATGTATATCTTTCTATTTTGATTTCTTTTTTTTAAAAAAAAATGCAATTTAACATTACATTATAAAATAAGATTCAATGTTGATGTAGAAATGCTGAGTGATTTTTTATTACATGTTTATTTTTGATTGAATCTTTTCCTGAATGACTGTTTATTTTAGCAGTCTGCAACAGATGTATTTGTAAATTTAAAATTACCTTTTAATTTGTCTTACATATACAACTATAAATATATATTTAAATTAAATACATATTTTTAAACGTACGTTACATTTTACAGTTGTGTTTTTAATCAGAGTACAGAAGTACTATTTAGCATAGTCTCAAATTGCGTTTGAGCTCAGTGCATGACGCCCTCTACTGGTCGGTTAAAACATTGTCCTCACGAGGGCGCTCAACACACACGAGTGAGCGTCGAAAGCTGAGCGGTTTTAACTTCCTGTTTGGAACAGTTCAGGAAGACGAAGTAATGGCGACGCTACTGGGGCCCGAGTCCCCTTGGATGGGAGGAAAGAAACGGACTCGAAACAGGAATATTCTCACCAGGATACGACAGAGTCAGATCACTGGACGAGGCGTCAGCAGAGGGACGCAGGTAAACGGAAGAATTTGTGCTGCTGACACAGAAAAGCCGCTGTCAGGATTCGCGTTTATGAACTGAACCGTCTATCAACCTGCTTTAAGTTAAGCAACAAAATAAATCGGACGGGTGTGACATCTAAATTTGACCTAAAGGTAGTTTAAATAATCTCTTAAAACTTGTGAAGTCAAATGGTCAGTGTAGTTTAAAAAGAAACCACGGAAAGGGAGAATGACAACTGGCCGTTACTAATTAACGTTAGGTTGTTCTTGGCTTTGACTGTGTCCGATGATAATTTGGGTTAAACGAGGCTTTAAATACAGCCCATATACAATCCAATTAAAGACTCCCACAAGTGGAGGCGTATTATTAGGAATGAGTAACGTTAATATTATGAATTCTAATCATACAATCTGTAACCTTAATCATTTAATGCTTTCAACCGACCAGCTGTTTTCAAGTAAACACGGGCTGTGTCTCACAACATAAAGCTATAACGTTGCAGCATTTGTGATCATTATAGGCTCCTTTGAAAGTCATAAAGCACAAAAATTTGAGTTTGACTAGAGTTTGACTGCCACATATTGTCATATTATCTAGTGTCCAATATTGTGCCATATCATTTTCGTATAGGTTGTCTTATCAATTTTCCCACCACCAGCCTAAACAGTAAATTGCAATTTTGTGTGGGTAGCTAATTGGTTCAGGCAATGACATTTTGCCTGCTCAGGCCTGGAGTTTAAAGAGATTGAATTATGTAAGAGATGTCCTTTTGAGTTGGACATGACCTGAACCTGGGAATTTAACTGTATTCAACCCCTTACAGGTTTCACTTTCACTTCATACTCCCAGTATTTGATACTGATTAACACTGAAGAAGTTAGGACCTATTAGAATACTTTGTTGTTTAATGTTTCTACAATGACAGGCTAGTGAATGTTTCTAAAGGGCCTAATAAAGAGTATACTATAGATATGTTCTGTTATACTAAACCAACAAGATTGTTCTGTTGTACTTTTATTAGTATGCCTTTTTGGCACCTATTTGGCTGCTTGTTCCTTTGAGTATTTGATTGTATTTTGAAGAAATAAAAGAAGACATACTTATGTGGTATATGAATGCATGGAGTTCATTGTATCAACATGACCTTAAAAGACTCTTTGTAAGTATTATGTAATAAAATACAAAAATGATACCAGCTAGGAATAGGCAACCTATAGCTACTACTGATAGAATGAACATTAAATCAGGTTCTTGCCTCCTAAATAAATATCACCTTTGTGTCAGGATGTAGAGTACTTTGGAGTGAAATAAACTTCTAAAGACTTCACAAAATTAAAGAATATAGTATGTAAGTGATTTGCATTTTATGTAAGTGTATGTAAGTGATTTGCAACTTTTATTATTGGCCTTACAAGGCAGTGTATTTGAAAAATGGATGCTATTAATAACCATTTTATTTATTAAACATAAATGAATTGCTTTATCTAATGTTTCTATTTGGACTGCTGATCTTTTAAATGTATAAAAAATAAAATAAATCTATCTTTATCATTAAAGTTTTCTTGCTTTGTGTGAACTGGTCTTGTCTGTCCTTTTGCTGAATTGCAAGAACTTGCATTTTATTTAGCAAATGCAAATCTAGTTTCCGTTTATTCTTTGTTTCCAGCTCCCAGAAGTTCTTCTTCAGGAGAGAGATAAGAGGGCGAAATGGCACGGGATTCCAGTCTTACTCCAGGAGCTGTACGAGAGCAGCCACCTAAACAGTGACTTTACCCGCTCACATATTGTCCTGAAGGTGAGATCTCTTATTCCACTCACTGTTTTGAGTGTGGGATATTTGCTTATGTTTTAAATAGCTGTATAGCCACTTGATATCCTTATTTCAGAGCAGACCTCACTGTGAGTGTCTCTCTATGCTGAATTTGTCTCACATTATGATGTTCTGATTTATACAGGAACTGTCATCCTTGCTGTCTATGGAAGCCATGTCTTTTGTGACCGAGGATAGGAAGACTGCGCAGGAATCCACCTTTCCCAACACATACACCTTTGACCTCTTTGGAGGTGTAGATGTGAGTTCAGAAACTCTCATGTCTTCTCTGTATAATGATGAATTGGCACCCTAACTGTGATCAATATAAAGAGTGCTGATGACAGTGAAGTTATTGATTAGCCGATATAGCTTTGTCACTGCTATAACTTTACTGTAAAGAATTTTTTTATATATATTTGTAGTCAGAGTTTGCGACTTTTGCGACCTCCCTTACTGCAAAACACTCGCTCTGTCTGGATGCTTTTAAAATGCACAGTAAGGACATGTTCCTGTCACATATCAAACATGCGCACTTCAATGAACCGACAGAAATCAGGTTAAAGAGTCTACTTTACATGCTGGACAAAATCGGCGTAAGGGGCAAAAATCTAGCGGTGACAATCAGTTTATACTATTTCAGGTTAAGAACGTTCATGTAAATGTCTGTTTTGATAATGGGCTAATATATGAGCCATAAGTTTCCTGCTGACATACCCGCAGTTCTGGAAATAACCTGATCTATTAATAAAGTCTTGTGAATGCAGTTTACTTGTGTTATCAGGTTATTGATTTGCATTTACAGTTATCAGTATTCTGGTGTACATGTAAATGTGCTCACTGTCAAAAGCTCTCTGTAACTTGCATTACAACCTTTTAAATATATTTTATATCATATTTAAAAATACGGAAATACGGATTTGTAAAATAAAAATATATAGATTATTTGTACGTTATCATGAGGAGGACATTGGCAGTCAGATTACCAGAATTTGTAGAGACAGAATTCCAAAGAATTGATTGTTTGTGCTTTATCTGTCAATATGATTGTAGTTTGACAATATTCAGCATGTTTCAATTAAATCATATTCAATCATAAATTGAACTCTCATTTATCTGATTAATCAGTTAATTTAATAAATCATTGACAGATCAATTTATTTATCAAATGGATTTTAGTTGCAGAACTAGATCAATTCAGAATTAATGAATGATTGTCTTTTTAGCTGCTGGTGGAACTTCTGATGAGACCCACTCTGACAACGCTACAAAAGCCAAAGAGTAAGTTAACTAGTAGAGCATTTTATGGAGATTATTTTTAAATAATTGGATAACTATTATTTATTGCTAAATATATACATGTATTATTTAGGGTGTATAAAATAACAATTATATTATAATAATTTAATCTGCACTTAGTCTAGTAACCATTTAAACCATACTATGTCTTCCATCAAAAAAATAACATTCTATCTTAAACTGCTTGTAGTGAATGATGACTTGGTTAAGGACTGCCTTAGTGTGCTCTACAACTGCTGCATATGTGTAAGTATTCTGGCTTCGTTCTCATTTAGGAATTGAATTGAAGGGTGACTAATATCCACTTGATGGATTCACAATGAGTATAAGTGCACTTATTTTCCTACAGACGGAAGGGGTCACAAAAAACCTGGCATCGAGGGATGATTTCGTTTTATTTCTCTTCACGTTGATGACAAATAAGAAGACCTTTTTGCAAACAGCTACATTAATTGAAGATATTCTTGGAGTTAAAAAGGTCAGTGCATTGAGAGGATTAAGAATATTTGTCTTATCAACAAAAACAAACGCCTAACAAT